ATGTAAACTTTCAATTAAAAGATTTACCCTAATATTTTCCAAAAAAGCAGCCATTTACACTGATTTTTCATCTTCATGCCAACAGGCATTTTGCATAGATTTTATAATTGTAGAAACATTTATGCATATTGAAATATAGTAATTTGGTTAGTAAAAATGCATGTCCATTGATTTCTTTCTTCCACATATATAAATAATAGAATTATCATTAGCTCACATTTTGTGTTTGAATTCCAGTGATATTCAAAGTGGACTGCATAAGATTCCACACCAATTTCCATTATTCCAAAACCTAAATTCTAGCTAAAATTGTTCCTATGACAGAAAATTTAAATGATCTTTTCATATATAAATCTTTTGGATTCTGCAACTAACATCTTCCACATTTCAGACACTAATATTAATTTAATTTGCCATCCAATTAATATATCCAGCAATTTCTATCATGTCTTGATAATCATTTATATTTTTTCCAAGAAACAAAAAAATTATTACATCACTACTCGGAAAACAGCCCATGTCTGTACAATACTAAAAATAATACGTTTTCCACCAAAGATCTTTACTCTATGCCATAATTGATAAAATAGTATTAAGAACTTTTTTTCTACATATTCCTAAATAATAATAATGTAGAATTATTTCCAGCATCATTACTTGATAACAGAGTTCGATACTGGAGTGTTAAATACCAAATGCAATCAGTTTATATTGGTATACTAAAAGTTGCAATTCTCTCATGATATTGAAACTATTCATTCAAATCATTATATGTTAATTATGTGATATTAACAGACCTACACATGTATAATGACGGAAAATTTGTATCTAGACAACAGTGTGTTTAATCCGATGCCTCTTTTTATCAATGTAAATTTCTCAAGTTATCAGTACTTTTGATTATACTCTAATTGAATTAAATCATCTTTTGGCATACAATGTACATGATTATTTACAAAGTAAGCATACTTAAAGGGCTAATGAACTCAAGACCCCTGAGTAACATATGGCATCCTAACATGTTTTGTGAATATATTTCTCTGAACAAAACATGTACCTTGTACATTGTGTACGACAAATAGCATCTGTTTTTGATAGGTAAAAAGATAACTATAATCTGTAATCCATATGAAAAACACCTCAGCATAATAAGCAATACCAATAAGTAAAAAGAAAAAAATCTTATTATTTACTTTTATTGATACAAAATTCTTACCTAACGGCTACACATTCCATGTAAAAGCATTAGTCTAGTCTCAGATTTCTTTTATTATATACCCGTGAAATAATTTAGTAGATCTGGCCATTATGTAGACTGCCCTAACTTTAAAAACTGCTAACTAAAAATCTATAACATTTTATCATTCCTATCATTTGATATCATAACAATTCATGTATGATAATGGCACTAATTAAAGAAACTGATTTTGTAAATTATTTTATATAAAATAACTGATAAAATAGTATAAAGAACTTTTTTCTACATATTCCTAAATAATAATAATGTAGAATTATTTCCAGCGTCATTACTTGCATGGTATGGTTGATAACAGAGTTTGATACTTGAGTGTTAAATACCAAATGCAATCAGTTTATATTGGTATACTAAAAGCTGCAATTATCATGATATTGAAACTATTCATTCAAATCAAGGTATATGTTAATTTTGTGACAGTAACAAACCTACATCCGTATAGTGACGGAAAATTTGTATCTAGACAACAGTGTGTTTAGTCAGATGCCTCTTTTTATCAGTGTAAACTTCTCAAGTTATCAGTACTTTTGATTACACTCTAATTGAATTGAATCATTTTTTGGCTTCCAATGTACATGATTATTTACAAAGTAAGCATACTTAAAGGGCTAATGAACTCAAGACCCCTGAGTAACATATAGCATCCTAATATGTTTTGTGAATGTATTTCTCTGAACAAAACATGTACCTTGTATATTGTGTACGACATATAGCATCTGTTTTTGATAGGTAAAAAGATAACTATAATCTGCAATCCATATGAAAAACACCTCAGCATAATAAGCAATACCAATAAGTAAAAAAAAATCTTACTATTTACTTTTATTGATACAAAATTCTTACCTAATGGCTACACATTCCATTTAAATGCATTAGTCTTGACTCAAATTTCTTTTATTATATACCCCTGAAATAATTTAGTAGATCTGGCCATTATGTAGACTGCCCAATCTTTAAAAACTGCTAACTAAAAATCTATCACATTTTATGATTCCTATCATTTGATATCATAACAATTCATGTTTGCTAATGGCACTAATTTAAGCAACTGATTTTGTAAATCTGAAATTAAAGATTATTCATGAAAAGCCAGAGATGGAGCTTTCATAAGAACAATGAAACATAATACTTACATGTAGAATTCATAGGTTAAGAGACGTTCCAATGCAATATAAAAATTAAGTACACATTCAGCACTTCAATTTTCTATGTGTAAAAGACATCTAAATTTTCGCAGTGACACTCTAGACCAGAGGTTCTGATAGTCAGTCATCCTTAGTCATCACCCTTTAACCAAAGCCTCTGCAAAAAGGCTCTTTTCACTTTAGTATTATTTTGAAATGTCTCTGGACATAGTATTTCACTTTGACACCTTTGTGACATCGCCTAATTTCACCTTCGCTTGAGTTTGCGAGAAAGATGTTTTTTTAAATAATACTATCAATATTGATGAGGTACATTATTATAGACATTAAGACTATTCTAGCAATATTTGATACTAGAAAATATTTTTGAAAATCAAGTAAAAAGGGTAGACATTGGTGATATAATACTTGTGAGCCATCTACGTGTAAAAAACAATTAATAAATTAACCTCACAGTGGGCATGGCATGTACAAACATGCTATCCCTGGCAGCTTTGGTTTATGCTTTGCCATACCAACCTCTTACAATTCTTACAGTATATTTATCAATATACAGCTTTAAAATTAATAATGATACTGAATCTTATGACTGTAGCATGATTCTAAAATAAAATAAATTCATCAAATAAATTGATAGGAAAAAAATATTAAGAATGAGTTGCACGGCAGGTGCCCCTGAAATGGGAATCTCTATTTCAGAGTAACTCAGTTGAAGGTTCTCAGCAACTTGGGTTCCTTTGTTTCCAATGAAAAATGAATATAAAATCTGAACAATTTATACTGCTTGGTTAAGCATCAAATAGGCTATACTTTTGTCAGCGCAGGACCAAATTTCCAAAGACTGGTATTTCTTTTCTTCCTTATACAAAGAATAGCCTGTGAAGTTGAAACCAGTAAAAGAAATTAAAAACAACTATTTTCTCATCTTCATACACTAATGACTTACCTGATACATAAATTTTAATTAGATGATATTGACAACAGAGAAATCACTAGAAAAACAAAAGAAGAAAGAAAGAAAAAAAGACATGATTGTCTAATCTTATAGTATTAAAATTCAATTTTCTCTTTATTTTAAACTATAAGCAATTACTGAGATACAGTAATGCTACTGCTTGTTTCTTGCTATTTGCATTAAATGAAAAAATCCTATAATAATGACGTTATATCACACATCATACTGTGGCTGTAAGTCATTATAAGACACTGAATTAACAATACATACATTTTAAGAACCTACAATCATTCTCTCTTCCATTTAAAATTCATACACGTCAAATTAATTCCATATGAAGTAGATGCAACAAGTATACCTGCTGAAGAGTATATTATAATCCAGAGAATGATGAGAGGTTGTGGAGGGCAAAAAATGCAAGAGCTTGTGATTGCAAAGGCAGATCTACAACTGATGATGCCACCATCATTCATATACAATTGTTTGGTTGTCTCAGTAAAAAAAGAAAAAGAAAAAAAAAGATGCTGTATACATGAGGCAAAAAAATTGTGCCATCAATAAAATCGAGCTGTAGCTATAACAGAGCAGATTACAGTTATCTGAGAAATATGTGGTTTGTCTGAAATGATTTCTAATCGGATTCTCTTAAATAATAAAAGGTTATGATTTCTAAGGAACTTAGAGGGTAGTTTTGGACACTGACATGAAAAATAATAAAACATGAGGAAAAACCTCCAAAAATATGATATTTTTTTATTATATTAAACAAATAAATGTTTCATAGTGAAAGATAATATAATTTTATAAAGACATAATCATAAAACAACAAAATCATTTATCAAGTTCCAAAATGTGCAGTTATAAAACACTATTGAAAGTTTAACGTTTAATGTTTGAAACAAATATAAGTGCTAGACATCAAAGGTCATATAGCACTAAGGTAAAGTATTGTGTCAGAAAGGGTAAAGAGGAGTTAAAGATTAGGGTAAAATGTGTTAGATGTCAAAGATTAGAGAGCATTATAGGATAGTATGGTAATGAAAAGGGAAAAGAGTGGAGAAAGTGAACTAGAGCAGAGATTAATAGAAAGGGTGGGGTGTAGGAGGTAGAGCATTTGAGTGAATTACAGTGTATCTGTCACTGGGGAAGGTATAGGAATAATGTGAGTATTCAGGTGGGAGTGGTAGAGAGGATGGGGTATGTTGGGAGGGTGTAGGGGGACGGGGGATGGAGGGAACTTGAGGAGGAGAATGGATATCTGCAAATACTTTACATGTAGAAGGGTTTATGGAGGGGAGTTGATGAAGAGGACTGAGAAACAAAGGTTTACTTGTGAGGAGGAGAAGAGGAGATGGATATCTGAGGAGCAGAGGAAGAGCAAGGTGTAGAAGAGGATGTATTAAGAGATGGTGCCTGGTGCGACAAATAAAGTGAGGAGGAGAGTTAGGTATCAGGAAAGTGTACTGATTGGAGTATCTAGATTTAGGCTGGAAAACGAATTTGACTAGGGGATAGGGTGAGTAGAGTTACAATGGTTTAGGATATAGGGAAGAGATACCAGGGGAGATGCAGAAACATCCTGTGAAGACGGCAAGGGAGCAGAGCAAAGGAATGTTTTGGAATAAGTTAAGAGGGAAAAACTTTGTCACAGTACACTTTATTGAATGTAGAATATATACAGTATTCATAAAAGTAAAAATAGAAAAACATTATTACAAGCCAGAAAGACATTTGAATGAGCAACATGCAGAAATAAATAACAAGTAACATATTAAGTGTGAAAATACTGTTATTTCATGCCTATTCTTACAATCACTTTTTGAAGATATATTCTAAACTACTAATATGCATTATTTCTTAAAATTCTAAGTAAAAAAATAAGTAAGTCTACTCTAAAGTGGACTTCCCAGAATATGTCCTTATAGTA